GGCGTCCCGCCCTGGAGCCCCCGTGGCCGCGGCACAGAGCAGGGCCAGGAAAGACCTCGCACATCTGTCCCCGCAGATGGCGCCCACGGCTCCCACGGTCGGCAGGTGTGCCGTCGGCACGGGCTCTACGTCAGCTTCCAGGACCTCGGCTGGCTGGTAATTTCTCCTCCCCCTTCTCTCCTACATGACGATCCCCCAAAGGTCAGGCGTCTCCCCAGGAGGAGGTAGACTTAGAGGGATTTTTTTTCCTCGTATCGTCTGAGTTTTCCCAAGTTTTCTAAAAGGAGAATGTGTTACTTTGGCTTTTTGGTAAAAACTGTGAAAATGGAGACAGTCTGCATCCTGAGCCATAAAATGTCAGCGCTACAAAGGGAACTCGAGGCTGGGGTGGCCGAGCCTCTGAGCCTTTGCAGTGACAGCAGCTGCGGGAGGTGTGGGGGTGGGGCAGCGGGAGGACCACCCCGAGGACCACAGGGCTTGTTCCCAGTCCTGTCTGCTGAGGGTCTTGGGGTGGACGCCAGGCTTTGGGGGGGGCCTGGTCAGGAGGGGCCGAGGGTGAGTGACAGGTCCCTGAGGCTGAGGGAGGGAGGGTGAGGGGCAGCCCTGAATCCTCCTGTGACAGGTGCTAGTGGGAGGGGCCACATGGTGGCACTCACCTTCTCCATTCCCCACCCAGGATTGGGTCATCGCCCCCCAAGGCTACTCAGCCTATTACTGTGAGGGGGAGTGCTCCTTCCCGCTGGACTCCTGCATGAACGCCACCAACCACGCCATCGTGCAGTCCCTGGTCAGTACCAGCCTGTGCTGCCCGGGCCCGGGGAGGGCCGCCTGGAGGGGAATGGGGGCACCTGCTCCGTCTCGGAGCTTCTCACGTGGAACCTTGGCTGGGTGCACGGCTGAGTGCACGTGTCGTTAAACTCTCACACCTGTGCAGGTGCAGGTCCCTGTGTGGCCAGCTGCGTATGCAGACTCACTGCTGGTGCACGCACACATGCACACACACACACACATGCACCACACAGAACAGACGTGCATCCACCTGGGCACCTGGGCACTCTGAACACGTGTGCCCGTGTGCATGGGGTTGTTAAACCTCAAGTGACACGTGCACACGCGGTGAGAGACAGGCGTGAGTGCTCCCCACCCTCACGGGGAGTCGGGAGAGTCACCCTAGCCCTTGTGCACAGGGCTCTCCTCTCAGAAAGGCCAGGTCCCTGAGGCCCAACCTCTCTCCCGGGTCCCAGGTCGGAAAGGCCCTCCCCGCTCCCCCACTGAGAGCCCATGGCCGGCACACGGGGCGGTGCTGCCTGGTTCCTGTCACGTGGGCCTTTGAATGCCAAGCCCAGACACCTCATGTGGAGGCTGGGAAGTTGGGGAGCGGTGGCCCCCTGTCCAGTCTGGCTGACATCCCCGCAGAGGCCTGGGCTCCCCAGTGGCTGCAGAGAGGCTCTGGGCCCCAAGCCAGCCCAGTGCCCGCTGACAGTCCTCCGGGCAGGCTGGCTCAGAGCTGGGGCTCCCGGGACACGGGGGTTTGGGGGAACAGGCACCAGACTGCCAGACAGGCCCCCATCAGGAAGTGTCACCCCGTTCTGCAGCCCCCGTAGGGCTGGGCGGTCCTGGGCCCTCGGAGCGGCCCCAACACCCACGGGTGGAAGCCCGTGTCCTTCCTCTCCTGGCCCAGAGCTCGGGCCGCCGGTGTGGGGCCCTGACCAGGCGTCCAGTGCTAACTCGGCTCATCCTGCCAAGTCGCAGGGTAAATATTTGTGTGGAGGCCGAAATAGCTCCACAGTCAGGCTCTTCCTTGGCGGGGAAGCGGTCCGGGCGGAGGGAGCGGGCTCACCGCACCTGGTCCGCGTCCTGCCCCCGCGCCCGTGGTCTGTGTGCGCTGTTCCTTCATCGCCCAGAGTCAGACTCACCTGAGACGCTGTGAGGAGGGTGAAAAGCGCTTTGAGAAATGACGGTGTTGAGCCCCCAGGGGTGAACCTGGAATCCGAGGCTTATCCAGTTGCTCCATGAACCTCTTGTGATCAGCCAGGAGGGGGAGCCAGGAAGGAAGTGGACACAAGGAAGTGGACAAGGCATGATCAGGGTCATTGCAGAAGCCCAGAGAAGCCCGGTCTGTGTGGCTCAGAGGTTGAGCTCAACCCATGAACCAGGAAGGAGGTCACATTTTGATTCTTGGTCAGGACACATGCCTCGGTTGAGGGATCGATCCCCAGTAGGGGGTGTGCAGGAGGCAGCTGATCAATGATTCTCATCATTGATGTTTCTATCTCTCTCCCTTTCCCTTCCTCTTTGAAATCAATAAAAACATTTTTTTTAAAAGAAGCCAAGAAGAGGGAAGAGTGGAGGGGCTCTAGAGGGGGGGCGGTACTGCAGGGGCCTCAGGCATAGGCACCTGCCACCAGGCACATTGTGTGCTGGGAACCAGCAGGGTCCTCAGGTCTGAGGGGAGTGGGTGTGACGGAGTTGACAGGTGCCCAGGCTGTGCCCTAAGGGCCCGGGGCAGGGCAGGGGTCAAGGAGAGCAGATTTTCACATCACACCTGCGCTGGCTATGGTTGGAGATGGGAGGGGTCGGGAGGCCAGGTGCTGGGCGGGTCCTGGAGGAGGCCCCAGTGCTCACACTCTGCCTGCCGCCCCCTCCCCGGCCAGGTGCACCTGATGAAGCCAGACGCAGTGCCCAAGGCGTGCTGCGCGCCCACCAAGCTGAGCGCCACCTCCGTGCTCTACTATGACAGCAGCAACAACGTCATCCTGCGCAAACACCGCAACATGGTGGTCAAGGCCTGCGGCTGCCACTGAGGCCCCGCCGGCCGCTGCAGCGCCTCCCGCCGCGGTCAGCCCCGCTCCAGAGGCTGAGGCCCTCAAACCCAGCCAGAGCACAGACAGGACTGGCACAGAGAGTCCTCAGATCAACATGTCCATGCCCCTTCCTCCTTCCTGCCAGAGCTGGTCCTTCCAGGCCCCTGCGCCCCTCCCCTGCCTGAGGTTGTGATAGATTCTGGCATTCAGTTCTGGTGGGCGGAGTCATCAGGCAGGGTTCTGCCCCAGCCATGTCCCCCAGGGGCACGTGCTGACTGGCTCTTTGGGGTCGGCACAAAAGTCCTATCTGAGGACCTGCCCTTGCTCATTGCTGGCCTGGTCTTGGGCAGGTGTGCAATGACCTGAGAGGCACCTGGAGCCCAAGGTGGCCAGCTCAGGTCCTCCAGTCTCCATTGCAGGGTTTGGGGGTGTGTAGACAGGGTTTGGCCCATCTCCAGTTGCCTACCCTTCCCAGGGGGAAAAGTAGGCATTTCTGGGTACTTGTTAAAGAGCATGGACTTGCCTTGTGTGCCCTATATTTTCAGATCTGAATTACCAAACTGCTGGCCATAGGGAGGCATGTGGGGCAACTCCAGAAAGAGCTGAACGAGCAGCATGGTGAAGGGCTCAGGCCAATGGCATTTCTCTTCTGTCTCTACTTTCTCAGCACGCAGCGCATTGAAATTTTTCCTTTGGAGAAACAAACAATCTTGGGGCTTCACTGACCCATCTGTCTGTCATCGTGTTGAACGTCGGGAGTTCAGCTCCGTGGGAAAGTATCTTTTTACTGAGCCAAGCGCACATTGTGTAGCCCAGGATGACAGTGCCCAGCACAGATGACATAACGTGCCTTTCTCTTCTGCATGACAGGCATCAATAATCAACCTTGATACTGTTTTCTACCAAATCTGAATAGAATTTCAAATGATCAGCACAGAACTCAGGCAGCCGCTTCCAGCACATTAGAGTTGGCATGTGAATTGAAACTGTGCCGTCTCCTGCTAAGGAGCAATCTGTTCCACCCAGAGCGATGTGTCTGCAACGCCGGGCAGCCTGCGGCCAGGTGTGGGGCCAGGGTAGGGACTTGTCAGCACCCGTTGTGTCCATAAGTTGTCAAAACACAGGCTGGTCACCAAAGTCTGCGTCACCCTGTCTGCTCAGGAGCCCCGTCCTGTTTCTTGGGGCCTGTGAGCCCACAAAAAGGCCCCTGTCCCAGGGGAGTGACAGGCAGTAATTAGGGTGAGCTGGGTGGGAAGGTTCCCGGAAACCACTGTTCTCCTTGGAGCAGCCGAGGCAGTGGGAGTGTTGATTTGATTTCTGACTTGCTAACCCTGTAATTTACCTGCTGGAGCAGACAGTCCAGCTGCCTGAACCCTGAAATACTGTGTCGTTAATAGCAGATCCTGGGCCCACCCCAACCCACAGGCACGGGCCACAGAGGCAGAACGACCCGTGTGCCCAAGGACGTGCTGCACCCTGAGGGCAGGCTCCGGGAGAGCAGGTCTGGGGCAGGGGTGGAGGCTGGGCCGGGCTGCAGCCCCGACCCCTGGACTGGGAGGGATTCTGGGAGTGAGTGGTGAGGAAGAGGCCCTTCCCATGTATACAGGGTGGCCCCAGACTGTCTGGAAGGCAGGGAGCTCCCCATTCGCCGGGGGCTTTGAGCTCAGGCTGGCAGGGATCGGACCAGGCACTGGCAGGAATGTCAGATCTGTATTCTGGTTCCAACTCAGCCAGCCACTGACCTGCGTGCTGTCTGAACCAGTCCCCTTCCCGATCAGGCTTGTCTCCCCTCTGTGACATGAACCCATAGGACTCTCATCGCCAAAGGCCTTGGAGCCAGAGGATGGGCCTGCCACCCTCCCCTCATCTCAGAGCCAGGTGCCCAGCGGCCAAGGACATGAAACCTGGACCTACTGAACATCTCCCTCCTTCCAACACCAGGGCGGGGGGGAGGGGGGGGAGCCTGGAAACTGCCAACATGTCAATATTTCGTCTCTGCTGTGCTCACATGTAACTTGGCACAGTTAAGGGCGCCAGGAAAGTGCGTGAAATGAATGTTTTAAAGATGCAGCCTGCCTCGCCCAGCGGAACAGGAATGAGACATGAATCCCTTCACGCAGTCGAGCCGACAGTACAGCAGCCATGGCTTTCCTGTGACTTCCAGCACCGTCAGCCATCCAGGCGGCCACCAAACGACATCCAATGGAAAAGGCCTCGGGGAAGGGAGACGTTACAGACACAAAGCTGGAGAGGTGGCAGCGCTGTTACCAAGGCCACCTTGTCTGGTTGCCTGGCAACCCAGGTTACATTTGAGGCTGCGCATCAGAATCATGAATAAGGGAGGGCGCCTCAGGCCCACTGACAGCCACGTAAACGCTGACACAGGATGCAAAGGACAGGCGAGTGGGGCCGCTCCGTGCGGGAAACTGCTGTTCTCAGCACCCCTCGCAATCGGACGCGGCCCTGGCCGATGCCAGCTTATCAGGCACAGCTCTCCTCTTTCATGTTTGTGGGGAAGTGGGTAATGTGCCCGAGAAATTCCCTACAATTTCACAGGAAAGGAGGCTGTAACCAGGAGACCTGGCAGCAAATCCCGGCTCGGCCTCTTGTTCATTTGACTACGTTACGTAACCTGCGTTAGCGGTCCCCCCTGTAGAAAGGGATTGCGCCTGCCCTTGCACGGCCGTGATGGGGACCAGGCTGTGCACAGCGCACTTGGCACATCTGAGCGTGTGTGTGCAGGGAGTAGCATCTATTAGTGGTTCCAACTCAGCCAGTGCCTGTGGGTTGGGGTGGGCCCAGGTAAACCTTCCCGCCCAGCTCACCCAAATTATTATTTCAAAATAATTTGTAAATGTGGGCCTCCGTGTGTGCCTACTCCAACTCACTCTTCCGAGTCTCAGGTCACCACCTGGACACCTGGAGGTGCTGGTGTATTCTCCTCAAAGCTGTGCTCTCCCTAAAAATCTAAACTTGGTAATTTTTGTTTTAAACTGGGTAATCTCTCGGTGTGAGGGGCGGCCTTGCACCGCCCCTGCCTGTGGAGCCCCGGCCAGCGGTGACCGGCGGTGTCCACCTGCGGCCTCATGGGACGTTGAAGGGAATGACTCTGGGAGCCTTGAGCAACCATTTGCCTCCCTTTGCTAGGTTTTCCCTCACGTAGGAAAATATGACATGTATGCTGAGGAAAATATTATTACATGTACACTGAGGAAATGTTTGAAAATGAAAAACGATATGAACACACATAACCCCACCACAGAGAAAACTATCATTAATGATTCCTCCAGTCTTTTTTATTGGCACATGTATGTCTTTATACATAAGATACAGATATTTTACAAAGTAAGAATCATATTCTATGCACTGCTTGGTGATCTTATTCAATTTATGATATATTCTGAAATTATTAAATATTCTTTGAAAACATAATTTAAGCAGCATTCCACATCTAGACTTCTGCCTTTTTTCTCTTACAAACCAGGTCTCAGCGGTCCTCCCCAGAGGACAGGGGAAGAGACCACCCCTGCGGTCTCTGGGCTGGCCCTGCCACCTCACCTCAGGGTCAGCACCTGTACAAGGGTCATGGTGGACCTGGGGTGACTTCTGGGGAAGCCCCTGCACAGCCCAGGGGTGAGCAGCCAGCACCCTATTGTCCCGCCCACCAGCCTCCTGGCCAGTCTGCTGTTCCCATCTTCCCAGGACACCAGGGAAGCCCAGTGAGCGACGAGGTCCCCCACAGCCTCTCCCTGGTCTCTCAGGGTTGTGAGACCAGCCCTCCCTCCTGGGGCCTGGCCAGCCTGCTCCATGTAGCAGCAGGTCACACCCAGACTGGCCATGCCGAGTTCGTCACCCCAGCCCTGAAGGCTGCCATTCTCCTGGCCTCCCTGCTGCCGGTCCTGACAGCTGTGACTGACGGCCTGTGAGGGGACGCCTAGGCCAAGCAGCAAGGGTCTCTGCTGGGAATACTGTGGGCCGTGCAGCGAGCTCCCGATGCCAGAGGTGGGCTCATCCATCCCTCTACAGGAGCAGGCCTGGGCCACGGGGCCACGGGCCAGTGGGCCCCTCTCCTCCCCTCCCCTCCAGGCTCAACCTGATCTCAACCCAAAATGAGATCCAGCACAGCGGTTTCTGAATGTCGAGATTTGATTCAGAGCAACTGACAGGCAGCGGGAGCAGTGGCAGCCCTGGAGGTTTCTGGGGCTCAGCCTCAGCGTGAGAGGCTGTGAGGGGGCCTAGCCAGCCCCAATTGTGCAGGGTGAGGCCGGCCTCGCACAGGCTACAGACCGTGGCACCAGACTTCAGTTTCCAGGGGGAGGGGAGAAGGCTTCTTTTTCTTTTTTAAATATGGACTGCTTCACGCATTTGCATGCCATCCTTGCGCAGGGGCCCTGCTAATCCTCTTATTGCTCCATTGTTAGTATATGGGCTGCTGAAGCGAGCACAAGGCTTGTTTCTTACGTGTCCCCAGCACCAGGCACAGGGCCTGGCAAAAGAAGGGCCCTGGTACTCTGCGGTAGCAGCTGTGATCCCTGGCTCGGTGGCTCAGTGAACCAGTAAATGGGCCCAAGACTGACTACGGGGACCCATTAGACTCAAGACCAGCAGGTGTGAGAGCAGAACTGCAGTCTGGCTAACCCAACACGCCTGTCAGGTACCAGGAGGGGGAGAGAGGCCAGCGGCACTTTTGCACCTGCTCTGACCTCTGCTACAGCCGGGGAGGAGGGAGCAGCAGGGGAGGGGCAGGACAGACAGTGACGGCTGCAACCTCCGGAAATGCTGGGACCAGGCTAGCAGGCAGCCGTACAGGAACTGGGGTTTATTTTACTAGGAGAAAGGCCACGGCCGTCCACGGTGGGGAGGGTGGCGCCTGTGCTTGGAAGAGCCAGGGGAAGGCCAGGCCGCGCCTGCAGAGGAGCTGCTCCAAGCTGAGCCCGAGGCCACGGCACAGACCCCCGTTAGCGGTGCAGAGGATGGTGCAGAGGAGGCGCCTCTCACACGTACTCCCCACAGTCAGAGATGATCACCTTCTCCTTCGGCTTCCCGTCCTTGCTACCCTGCGCCTTTGCGGGCGGAACAGAAGAGAAGAAATGGGGAGGGAGGGTGAAGATTAAAGGGGCTCAGGGACACCCACCCCCCCATTCCCAGGCCGAGCAGAGCAGCCTCCTTCTGGAGCAGCCGGCCCCCTCCAGGC